CAATGCTGTCGACTGGTAAATCTAACAAGATTATTTTGAAAAAATTTTACAGATTTTTATGTGACTAAGTATACATATTGAAGGTAAAATTATGAGACTTATTGTGTTTCCTCTACTTTCTCGCACTAACAAGAGATGAGAAATTCTTTTTGTCCCACCTCCTTCAAACGACACCGGTTGCCCCATGTCATTGCACCCAACATTATTAAATGCTTTTTTTTATTACCAAAAGCCCACTTTTAATTGCAGACGGCCTAGCTCATCGTGGATGTAAAGCAGAAAGCAAAATTTGTGCGTCTTTCAGACTATTGCTTCTTCTTTTGCATTATTCTTACTGTAAGAAGGAATGAAAATAAAATTGCACCTCGAAATTGTAATGCGCTATAATGTAGTGATTGATGCTGCGGCTTGATCTAGCCAACAAACGAAATGCTCGGCCTTTATGGTTTTTTTTACTACTGAAAGTATGCACCAGTTGTGAAGATGTCGCAATGGAGAACTACAAGTTATTAAAATTGGTTTATTACTTTGGCTATCAAGTTTTATTAAAAGCTCTCTTAAACCATAGAGTTTCTACACTTTTTTAGGTACGGCAGTTGTCGGAGCAGCAGGATGTGGAACACCCTTCCAAAGACGGACACCAGCTTCTCTCGCCCTCGGACTCATTACCTTTGTCAACTGCATGGGACCTAACGCAAGCCTCATCTTACACTCCTCCTCTCTCTCCTCCTCACCACCGTTCTCCAATACCGGAGTCGCCTCGTAAAATCCCAAAAAGCTCTCCTCCGCATCACAGTCCTGGAAGCCGTGTAGGCGGAGCAGGGCCAAAACATCCAGCACTCCCTTCCTATGTGGAAAATAGCCTTCCTGAGCCGGGAATGCTGCGCACCATCTACATACATCGCACGTCACCAGAGGAGCCTCTGGGGATTACTTTGTCCATTTACGATTCCTCACAGATGCCGATTCGTAGTGGGTCTCTTCTCTCCCTATTAGGAAAGCAGATCCAGCGAGGAACAACCAAAGACCCGCCAAAAATCATCATCCAACGCATAATCGTCGGTTCGTTGGCTGACAAAGAGGGCAAACTGTTTCCTGGTGACGAGTTAATTGAACTCAACGGAGTAACCGCTACTTCTTTGGAGGCCGTTCAAAAAGCAATGTTCAGCGCTACACACAAAAATGTTCTCCAAATGGTCGTTAAGACTCCTGGAATTGGACAGTTAAAAGCCTACATCCTAAGCCGTCATGATCCAGAGCATAAGGCAGGTTCATGAGTCAATTATGTAATCTTATAATTCAATTTTAAGCTTACTTTTAAGCATTTCAGTAGTTTATTAAAAATGACTGCTTTCATTTTTTACACAGTTGTACATATGCAATTACAAGAGCCTACGAATGATCCTTTCTCCTCATAGGTATATATTCGATGTCTCTTTAAATATGATCCACTGAAAGACACACTTCTACCGAATGCAAACTTGGGCGTTTCCTTCAAGAGTGGGGATGTCCTTGAGTTGGTGGATTCGCAAGATCTCAACTGGTGGCAGGTGAGGCGTCTTGATACACCCAACTCACCAGTTGGACTTGTCCCCTCGCAAACCCTCCAAGAACGCCGCCAGGCATTCAACCAACAGGCTCGCACAGGTATGCATTTCGTTATTTTCCATAAAACGTGAAGTACAAATGCTGCTTTGCCATTCCTTTGTGCTGGACATCTGACACAACCGTGAATCACTTTAGGAATTGGGAAATGACTCAGTACTTGGCCATAAGGACACAAATATGGCGACTTCAGGGCTTAATGTTTTTGAGTAATCATTGAACTTAAGTCCACATTGTAAGTTAAAACTACGAAACCTTGATCCTGAGGTCTTATGCCTGCATTGGATGGTGAGATGACGATATACATAAGCTTTACATTAATATGTATAAAAAATGATGTTGAGTCAGGAAAATGACACAGTCGAGGTTGGAAAAGTGTGGAGAAATCGTTTTATACAAACCAGACATGAATAGACCGCAGCGTGTAAACACGTCTAATTGTAAATTTACGACACTGGAAGCACATTTCCATTGTTTAGCGGTGCTTTGACATGCGCATTATTTACGCAAAAGGTTTACAACGAGGCCGATCTCCCTCAAAGAGTTGCTTGGGTATTGACAGCCCAGATCTAGCTGCTAGCATAAGGAGGCCCTTTGCCCGTTTAAGAGTCATCCGAATGCCAAAATCTAGCACATGTAGGTAACCTCGTGGTTGGTGGGACAGTGGCCACTAAAGAGGCATTGTGTTTGCGGTTACTCTATTCATTGTGACGTTTCCTTTAGGCAAACCTGTGCATAAAAACTGATTTCTTGCCTTCATTTTTTGTATTGGCTTGGCAGAAGTGAGAATTTCACCAATTTAGGCAGGCACATTTATTCAAATTGAATTTACTTTTGTGTTGTAAAGGTGCTCGAATTTGTCAGAGAAGCCAGAAGATTGAGTTTGGTTTACACGGTCAACTAAAATATTGCAGTTCTCCTTTGTGCCTTTTAATAGACTATGAAATGTGAAAGTGACTGTACCTTTGTCCTGATATTTTACTTATGCTTTTAGTTTAAAAATGCGACATAATTAATTAGGATTTGGAAGAGAACGTCCTCATAAGAGTCTTGCTAAACAAGAGGTTCATCTGCATTTTGCTTGACAATTTGACTTGCTTACTGATATTTAAAAGTAGCATAATTTTTTCGCAAAATGTTTGGGTGCGGTAGTTTGACAGGATTAGCATCCGAATAAAGGGACGGATTTAAGGAAAAATGCTTCATGTTTACTGCTACTCTATACAAGATAATGCAGTAAATGTTGTTTGATGTTCCTTCCTCTCTTCAATATTTAGTTAATACAATGAAAAAAATCAAGGAGGTCAAATCAGTGTTTCGAGCTGCAGACTCTTCAAGTGAGTTGGGATTACTTTCCTAATGCAACATTTCTTGTAGATCTTTTGGTTCGTTCGGATTTGTGGGTGTACGAAGAGGTGGTCCCCTGGCCTCCTTCTCCTATACCTACTCTCCTTCTGATTGGTCCTAATGGCGTTGGCCGCAGGACAATAAAGTTCCTCTTGTGCACTCAATTCCCTCAAAGATTTGCTTTTCCAATATCAGGTACCTTTTTTCCACATATTCGACTCGGTCATCCCCAAAGTTGAGACAAAGTGAAAAAAATATTGCTGTACTAAATGTCTTCTACTTTCGGCTACAAGTTGTATCTTTCTTTTAGACACCACAGATTCGACAGCTACACCCGCTTTGTTCCGAATACGCACGAAGGAGGACATGGAAAATGATATTCGACAGGGGGCGTATGTAGAATGGGGAACAGTGGATGGCCATCACTATGGCATTAGGTTTGCCGCAATAAGGGAAATCATTGCCACTGGAAGGACTGCATTAATCGACTGCCAATGTCAGGTAGCCTATAGCTAATTTGTTCAATCACAACAAAACTAAATGGCGTGAAAAAAAAAGAGCTGTGTCACTTTTTAGTCCGTCTATCTGCTTCATCAGCCCGAATTCAATCCACACGTTGTGTTTGTTTCCGCGCCCAAATATGAGATCGCGAAAGCCATGATGGATGCTGGGATTCGGAAGAATCTCACAATAAATAAAAGAACAGTGAGTCCGAACCAAAAGGCTCGGTTTTTATTCATCTCATTCTGTTCGCCTTCGTTCCTTAATGCATAGCACTGCAAACAATTTCTCAATCACTATCCCCACGTGGCATGTGTTTCTAAGTCCTGAGTCGGAGGCTTTTAAGCGGCCCACGAGCTCCACACCTTTGCAATTACTACAGCTCTAACTTCTGAAGCTAAATCCTCCACCCGTTTACATTTGTGCCACACTATAGTTTATTGGAGAAATTAAAGTTTGATCATGCATTCCTGCTCATGCTTACAACAGTAGGCACCGAGTCGAAAGTAACGCTTTGGATGCATGACAATTGGCGACTAGAATTCTGAGCTACGCAATACTAATAAGTCTTGAATATGCACTATTGTTTGTGACTCTTTTGAAAGTTCTTTTGCTCCGATCCAAGAGCGAGGAGATACACAAGATTGTGGAGGAGTCAAAGGTGTTCGCTAGTCAAAATCAACACCTTTATGCTCACACACTGGTCAACAGCAACATGGCTGAGAGTGTGGAAAAACTGTCACAGCTGGTCGCTAGACTGGAGCGGCAGCCGGGATGGATTCCTGCGGGTTGGGCCTACGAAATGGGTCTTCCCAGGCCATTAGGTTCGTTTTATGCCCCATTTTCCCCTTTTAGGATCGCTAGCCATTTTAGGTACCCAAAGGTTATTGCTACTTTGTGCTATTCCCTGAGTACCTTGGTAGGGCCACTAAGTGGTCTATTAATTCAACCATTGAGCTTACTTTTGGGACCGCTACTGGCCAAAAATGCTTTAGAAAAGAATTTGAAACGCTAGCCTCCTATTCGCTTTGCCTCGAAAGGAAAGTGCAGATTGAAGTGCATGAAAACGGTTTATTTTGGATCATTGGAGTGCTTCCAGCAAGCATTAGCCCTTAAAGTTGACAGACAAATTCTAAGATCGCCTTTTAATCACCAGATTGTGAAATTTTTACCCATTCAGCAATGAAAACTTGTATTTTGCAGCTCCAAGAGGTCTGATTTATTTAATGGAACGAGTGCTTTTGGTCTTATTAAAATCCTTTTAGACATCATCATGAAATTGTTTGTAGGGAAAGATGGAAAGCGCGAAGATCGACCTTCACGTTTGAGCATTGTTGGTCTTCCTGATGACAACCGGTCGGTTCTCAGTCGAGTTACAAGTTCAATGCGCTCAACAGCTTCTCCAGAGTCTGCTGTTCGGTTGGCTAGACCACCATCAGTGTGCAGTTCTTTGCAGCTTCCAGGAACAGTTGTAAAAGGTAGTTGTGGTATTCCTCCAGTGGGCCGTTGGCGGTACGAGAAGCGCAACATGGTACAGCCCATCCAACCCCCTCTGTCACCTCTTGGCTCCTCAACTGACCAAGAAATTGGAAGTGACAACTCAACTCTCCCTCAACCCCTCCCCATTGAACGCAACTTGACTTCTAAAACAGCAGTGGTGAGTGGCTTTACTCCTCTACTAGCAACAATCCCTTCAATACATCGTTAATTTCTCAAATTTATTTACTTTAAGCAATTATTATTAATTTATGGTCTTTAGACACTACCTTTAAGGCCATGTTAAATTTTATCCTCTCCCAAATCCCAGGTGCTCTTTACCTAACTCTTTTCTCCCAGCAATCTCAGGCAGCCACAAGACCAGCAATTGGTAATCCAACTTCCTCGAAGCCACCAGATTTGACCAAGCAACAAATTTTTCCTCACAGCGGTGCCAAGTCAAATGTACGGCTTAAATTGAGTCGCGGGGCTATCAAAGCGAATGGTGGTGGCGGTGGTGATGGCAACAATGCCAATGATGATGGTGATGATGATGCAATCAGTAGCACTTCTTCAGAGGATGCGTGATTTGTAAAGGAAGCAAAACTTTAAAAATCACTCTCTGCTCAGCTCTTCAAATGATACGTCCAACTTGCATTAGTTTATAATAAGCGCCCGTCCCACTGCATTACTCCTTTGTAATTATTAATTGTGTGATAGCATTAAGAATGACACTTTGTGACCCTTTGAGGTGATTCCTTAATTAAAAGGTGCCTTTTATAATGAGTTTCGCAAATTCTACCTGATCGTTACAAAAATGCTATCTGCTATTTTGATGAAAGCATTTAATTTCGGGCTATGTTAAACGGTAAATCGAGTATAACAGAATCATCAGTTCCACATTCTGGAGTGGTTAAAACTGTCACCTCACCTGTCTGTCTTAAGGTTCTCGAATACCTTTAACTCATGACTCCTGCAAGGCGCATAGCTGACTTACTTCCTACATTTTGCCTGCAAATTTTCAGTCTCAGATTTCCCACTTGGCAGTAGAGGACATGAGAAAAAGGGTGAATGCTTGTGCTGAGAGGAAAGGGGACGACGAGGGGCTGTGACTTATGCAGGATGAACACCAAAGTGACAGCCAGTCACGCAGGTAGTCGATTGAAAGTGGTATTACAATTGCCCTTGAAGCATCGGAATTTGTGTAAGCCCAAGTGGCTTGCCTGTATTTGGCATTGTCAGACCGTTCGTCAATGTCAGTCGGCATCTGTTACCTCCGTACTGACACTTTTGCCTTAGTTGCTTACCCCATCAACTCAGTATCGGTTGACCTGTGAACAAGTCAAATAATCGTGCATGTAACGTGCCAAATCTTCCCACTGAATTCGTAGAAGGAATGTGGCATGGCTGAGTGCTTGCAATGGGAGGGAAAAGGAGAAGACGTCGGTTGTACGGGTAGTCGAATGAACAACGCAGTGCATGCTCCAATCCGTCGACACAGAGAGTGTCAAGTCGGACCTGATTTAAATCCAAGGAATAGCGCACAGTCCAAACTATTCAGAGCATATCAATTCCATTAGCTACTAATTTACATTTCGTTAGTAAAAGTAACACAAAACTTCAACCCCAAATTAGCTAGCATTACTCCATCTTATTGCCTCCCATTTGAGGGAATGGACATCCACATTTCCATCCTCCACGTCTCATCTCCTCTTCCATGCCTTCCATAATATGTGGTATTCATTTTCGAGAAGGCATGTCAAAACACACTTTTGCATACACCCTCGAAGACCCAGCACGACCTCCCCTTTCCCGATCAAAGTTTGTCTATCAAAAAAAAAAAAACGAATTTTTTTCAAAGCCGGTGAAATGTGGATCAAGCATTTAAGGGGAGGTTAGTAGAATTCATTTTTAATTAAGTTTTCACCTTGCACTCACACACGTCAAGCCACTGAGTTGGTTCAAGGTCAAGTCACTTTTCATCACCCAATTACGTCACTGGTGCCTCAGCACACAGTGCAAAATGTCATTTGCTTTGGTCTTGGTGCAACAAAATCTCCTCACCCAATAGCCCGTATTACAACTTCATATTTTTGTCAACGCTCTTGTATGTGGGCAATTGATGAGATCGGAAGGAGTCCCTCATTCCTTTTTTTAACCTTCTGTTGAAAGTACGTAAACGTACAATTAGCACTCATATTTTGCCAATGTAGTTTAGCAAGTTTGGTACTTGTTGGATTGTCGTGCGGAGTGTTCACTGGGGCATTCTTTTGTAGCGATGAGACACCTCCTGTAACGCTTTTTAACAAAACTCTCTCTCGATGTTTAC